TTTTTGCTATGTTTTTTAGATGGTAAAAGGCTGCAGATGTTATTGATTTTATGTGACTGTTAAAGTTCAAGTCTGAGTCCATTATTACCCTAGATTTCTTGCCTGATTTGAAGGTTTTAGAGAGAGAGACTGGAGGTGACTGCTGACACTGTCTCTTTGTTTCTGTGGACCAAACACTATGACTTCAGTCTTGTCAGAGTTTAGCTGGAGAAAGTTGTTTTGCATCAATTACAACCTGCAAATTGTCTTATTACATCAATTTATATTTCCAACCAGGATATCTGCTGAACCGATATTTGGAAGCCGATGTCTGATCCAGCAAATTTGTCATTATTTGCATCGATATCTGAGAATACGAGAATCACTGAAATTTAAACAGTTTCACTTGGGTTATTTTTTTTGTCTGAGGCCCACATGATTTTGTTCTATCCACTTTTTCTGTAACTCATTGTCATTCTTTAAAGTCCACACCCCTATGTTGTCATCACTCTCATCACTCTCCCATTACGTAAGAATGACATAGCCTTGTGTTAGTCGACATCATTCATGAAAAAATGTAAAGCTGTAAGTGGAACATATCGTATTTCTGCACTGTCTTTTCCCGCTGTGTTTTGGGATTCTTCTCCAGCCTTCTTCTCCTGGAGTTGTCTATGTAAGGAGAGGAAATGGACTTGGACTGCTGGCTAACTTTGCACCATTTTGGACTGCAGAGCTCATTTGCACTTGGCTAGTCTGGTGTTTCTTGCTCATTATGTGTTGGCAGTGGAACGTAATAAGTGCGGACAACTATTACAAGCCTAGTTTCACTCCAGATGTCCACTTGACGGGCAGTTTAAAGCAGACGTATTACGCAAAATGGACTTTTCAGACCTTTTAGCCATGTTATAGTTGTTTCCCGACACCAATTACTCAAACAAAGTTGTATTTGGAGTGATTTGTGCATGTTTAAGCAAGATTCTCAAGATGTCATTTTGCAGATCTGTCCCCATTTTCACAGTGACTGGTGCACACCCACTGCTTTTGTTCTTTGTTCTCCAATTTTATTTTTTTTAGTCAGTGATGCACGCAGGATTTAGCAGTGTCATGGAGTCATTTTGGTACAAATGGTGCAGACTCTTTGTTGTGTTGACGTTTATGGCGACGTCGGCTCCCATTGGGCACCTATTACGACCCAGTTTTTGGGGTCAGGAAACAAAAATGACCAAGATGTAAAATGGAATAAATTAAATAATGTTGAATCAACAGGAATGTAAAAGGTAAATTAACAAAACTTGAAACTGCTTTTTGGACACCTGCTCCGCGGGGCTCAGGGTTCGCTATCTCTCTCTCTCTCTAAGATTAGACCTGGTTTAGACCTGAATTATTCCGGGTTTAGTCCTGGTTTAGACCTGGTTTAGACCTGGTTTAGACCTGAATTAGTCCTGACCCGCCCTTAAAATTCCAGAACGTTAAAACTCGCCCGTTTCAGCGACTATTTTCCCTTATCCATCGGTGCAGGACTCTGTATCAACATATAAACGTATAGGCCTTATTTCCTGGACGGACACAAGATTTTAATCACACTCATAATGTATGTTAATTATACTTATTAGTATTATTATATTTTTACCTTTATTAAGGGGAAAAAAAAAACAAAAAACTGAGGTGTTTAATGTGCGTGCTAATAGATTTAAACCTCATTAAACGCAAATGTGTTGTAGTTGTACACTTAATATACATTCTAACTTAATACACTTTAACATAAAATAAATGATAAAAAGCAAGTACAAAATGTGATGTCTGAAAACAGTGAGAAGATGTGCAGGCTGCGTAGCAGGAGTGTCTGATGCTCTGGTGTGAACTGAAACTGAAATTTACACGTACGCACAGGTCCGCCTACGTTAAGCTCTGCTGCAGCTCCTGGTGTGAATTCGGGGTTAGTTGTTTTGTATAAGCCTGTGTGACCCGTTTTGTGGCACAAACTCGTTGTCTGGTAAATCAGTAGTTTTGTTCTTAGTTTAGATTATTTCCTGTACATTATAGTCTGTTTTGTTGATTTACCTTTACATTCCTGTTAAACATTACTTCGTTTATTCCATTTTGCCATCTTGGTTTATTTTTGTTACTTCCCTTTCCCCAAGCGAGCTGGGTTGTAACAGACACATACTAGTATAAACGAGTGACTGACATGAAAGACACAAACACAAAATAGCAGACTGGCCACAAAGGCAGTAGCCCCGAATTGCAGGCAGTCTCCTTAAATAGGGGGAGGTGGTTGCAGGTGAGGTGGGCGTAGACATGCCCCACCAATCACAGACCAGGGCTCCCGCAGCAGGAATCAGGACAGCTCAGCAAAATAATTTAAAGCACACAAAATAATTTTGAACTGAAAGCCTGGGGCCTTCTTTAGAAGAGGGTTGCTTGTTTATGCAACACATTTAACAATTTTCACAGTTTTGATGATTAAAATGAGCATTTTTCATGTTTGCTTTGCACAAGAAGTGATTTAACAAAGGCTTTTAGTATCACGGCCATGATTTTGACATTATTAAACGGAAAGTGCATTCTGTCGAGATATTATCGTATCGTGGCCTTTGTATCGAGGTATGTATCGTGTCTGCAACGTCTGAACGATACCCCACCCTAGTACTAAGAGTAGCAAGTAAAAGTATTTTGAGGTGATTTTTAGAACAATTAAACGATAGAATGTAATGATTTTGAGAAGAATTCAACTGATTTGAAGTGATTCCATTGATTTATTAATTTTTCTAGCCATTTCTGTGTTTGGTTTGCACAAATTTGTGACGGAAACTCAAATTAAACGTGTTAAAAAATCTCAAACCATAAAGAAAAGTACTTTTTACTTTTCAGTCCAGATCTAAAATGTAGAGGAATAGAAAATGCACATACACGCTCTCAAATATACTGACGCAAAAGTAAGAAGTATCCACTGTAAAATTTACTCAAGCAAAGTACAGATACCTAAAATTTCTAGTCAAGTATTGCACTTTTACTTTTCTACTTCATTACCTTCCGCCATAAATACTTAACCCTCAACATATATATCAGTTACTGTACCATAAATTTATATAGTAATAATTATCATGACAGGTGGGGATCAAACCATCAACCTTTTATGTGTGAGCGTCTTTAGAAAGTAATGGCCGGGCGGAGTTCTGACTGTACCTGAATAGGCCTGTCGCTGTAACATGTTTTGAATTGAGATAAATTGCTATAGAGATATATTACTATAAGTGCCAATACTCAGACTACTTTATGCCTCTGACACATTAACAATAATACCACATAATCCCACTAAACCTTTTTAAATGGACGGTGTCAAGTGGCCTGAGCTGCACCACGATGAAGCAATACTGTAATGAGAAAAACGAAGGGACTTTTTCAACCCTGCGCAGCTCAAATTGTACCGTATTACAACAAAAATACCCCAGATTGTACCACTTTTACAAGGAAATTGTACTTCAAACTCCAAAATACATTCGTCCAGCTTTCATATATTGGATTTTAAGTAGATTATTAGTATTTATAGTGACATTCCTACACTGTATATTCCTAAAGGTGCATTGTGTGACTTTTTGGATGGAGGGTCCGTCAGATGCTGTTCTTCATGGAGCTGTTATTGCTTTGTCTGGTGCTGGTGGGTGGTCCGGCGACATGGTTAAGTCCTACCTAAATCTTGTTTTAGTCCTATTTTAGTCCTGTTTTTAAACCTGGTTTTAGACCTGGTTTGATCTTGTTTTGTTCCTGTTTTAATCCTGTTTTAAACCTGGTTTAGACCTGGTTTAGACCTGGTTTAATCCTGTTTTAGTCCTGGTGTAGACCTGTTTTTAGACATTTTAGACCTGGTTTTAGAGCTGGTTTAGATCCTGTTTTAGTCCTGTTTTAGACCTGGTTTAGACATGTTTTTAGACCTGGTTTTGTCCTTGTTTTAGACTTGGTTTTAGACCTGTTTTTAAACCTGTTTTAAACCTGTTTTTAGACATTTTAGACCTGGTTTTAGACCTGGTTTTAGACCTGGTTTTAGACCTGGTTTTAGACCTGGTTTTAGACCTGGTTTAGACCTGGTTTAGACCTGGTTTAGTCCTGGTTTAATCCTATTTTAGTTCTGGTGTAGACCTGGTTTAGACCTGTTTTTAGTCATTTTAGACCTGGTTTTAGACCTGGTTTAGACCTGGTTTTAGACCTGGTTTTAGACCTGGTTTTAGACCTGTTTTAGACCTGGTTTTAGACCTGTTTTAGACCTGGTTCTAGACCTGGTTTTAGACCTGGTTTTAGACCTGTTTTAGACCTGGTTTTAGACCTGGTTTTAGACCTGGTTTAGACCTGGTTTAGACCTGGTTTAGACCACAGCCACTAAACCAGAACTCATATTTAGTTTGATTGACTGCAGTTGATGATCCCACCCGCTCCCGCACTGTGTCGTCCCGCTCCCGCCTGCGGCCGCAATGAGCTTTCAACATGTGTCTTGCGCCGCACTGTCCTGTGGGACCCAACATAAAACAGTGCGGGGCTCTATTATAAAAACTATAAAAAAAACTATAAAACCACCTGTAATTGAATAAATGTAAAATAGAGCTGACGGACCCCCAACCAAAAAGTTACATAGTGCAGCTTTAAAGTATGAGTGTTACTGTATATGGTCAGAGTATTTGTATCGGTCGTGTTGTACTTTCTCAGTGAGCTTCACTACAAACAATATTTTCTTTTCAAACATCAGTTTATGAGTCTGAGTCTACAGGATGTGTTTGTGTTTCCCCCGAGTTTCACATTCAGATACATTCGGTTGTGGTCAGACTTTAGGGTTGAATCAGAACATTCTCATCGCAGTGGTATTTTTTGGTATGAACGTTTCTAACCCAGATTCACCATCTGATTACATAGTTTTAAACCCAATATTATACACACTTGGTTACTTGTTAACCTCTGATTATGTGACACAGAAAAGAATTGCTTCACTAAACAGCACCACTTTTACATTGTGCCCATCTCTCTCTCCTCAGATCATGATCGAGTTCTGCCCTGGAGGAGCTGTAGATGCCACCATGCTGGGTAAGTTTGTGTTTCTGCCCCCTGCACAAGTCCATTTCAGAGCAGGTTTCTCCCTCTTTATTCTTGCATTAGCAGAAATGTGTACAATATTCAGTCATTCATCCTGGAATTGGTCAAGGTAGTCGTCAGAGGTCTGCGCGGGATTTTCAGTCCCCCTCCTGCTCGCAAAGAATTGTAATTTTCATTCCCGCTCCCGCCTGCATCTGCGATATTTTGTCCCACTCCTTCCCACAAATCCCGTAAGATGGGGATGTTCGCTTTTTTAAGCTCTTTGAAACACAGAGAAGCGGAAAGGAATTGTGTAAAATGTGCGCGAGATTAGACCACATCTGCAGATTTTTTTATTAATGCGAAATAAAATATCCAGCACAAATGATGATGATGATATGCTTACATGAATCATTTGTATATTTTACTTTACACTCATATTTAGCTTGTCGGACTGCAGTTTATTGTACAGTCCCGCTCCTGCCTGTACCCGCAATGAGCTTTCAAAATGTGTCCCGCGCTGCCCTGTTTTGTGTCGGGAGGTTCGTGGGAGTGCAGGGCTCTTGTGGTCATCTAAACTGATGAAAACATTAGGCCGTAGGTTGTGTTGTCTCTGTAATTCCTCAGTCATCCACAACTGAAAAAGGTGCTTGGATGAGAGGACAGTACACTCCATAGACCAGACCTGGGCATCGGGGCAGCCTCATTTTTTCATTGCTTAATCGTAACATAAACTCCTCCCAGTCTGACGAGTTTGTCAAAACAATCCTATTTATTGCTTTTTATAAAGAAATACAAATAATATTATGCAGAGTTAAGTTGAGTTACGCATTTTGACTCGGCCCTTCACTATAGGCGAGTTTCAGCTGACGTCATTGTTATTAAAAGCCCGCGTTGCATGCTGGGAAATATTTTGGTCGGAGGCAAGAAACACAATAGCGGTCAAACACAGTGCGTAACCTCGCGTATTTATCCCCGATAATGGTAAATTCCTGCTGCATTATCGGATGCACAAATAGAAGCACGGAAGAAGGAAAATGTCTTTTTCGTATTCTGAGTGAAAAGAACCGCTAACGGTGAATTAAACGGCTTTCAAACATTCGCAGAGCAAACGTAGAAGATCCTAAGCAAACCGTGGACTCCAACAAGTTCAACAACACATCGAGACTCTTGGAGGTTTTCATCTTTTCTGCTGTGAATGGCCCAGGAGTTTCCACCAAGTCATTGTGGATATCACCGAAGTGAATATTTGTCCAGGTAGTTGGCGATTCTGACCAGAAATTTGGTTTGGTCCAGGCTTTGTAGGGGTTGAAAAGGGTGATTTGTCGTCCGTCGATGCTTATGACCAATTTCTGGTCAAATGGTCTTGGGTCCTCTGCCGTTAGAGTGGATAAATAACCGGGATCAATACCCTTTACGTGCTTTCTCGCTCCGTCCGTCATGTTGAATTAGTGTTTTCTTGCCGCCGACCAAAATAATTCCCAACATGCAACGCGCGCTTTTGTCAACAATGAAACTCTCCTGTATTTAGATTATTATTTTGGCCCCATGGAAAAAAATAATTGCTCAGCGAGGCTAGCAGTTAATTAATTGCATTCATTTTGTAACCAGGGACCATATTTGGATATCCAAGTGCGAAACCAAAGAGCCAGCCACGAGTGAAGCTGTTGAAGATAACCTACCGCACTTAGCAATGAAGCTGTCGATCAAACCTTGAGGAAAGCAGGCACCGGATTGGTCTGTTATTACTGTTCATATCTTACAGACAAAATAGTGAAAGAAAAACCCCAGAAGCACGTAGAGCAGGTTAATATAAACATTTTAAGACCAAAATTACGAGCCTGACAGCAGCAGATACAGAGAGAGGGACAATAGTTTTTCAATACCAGTGAACTGCAACAAGAGCTGGAAGGAACCACTTCGACCCACGCTCACATCCTGTTTGGAATGCGACGGCCAGTGAGTTAGTCGGGATTTTTTAAGTGGTGTACGCAATTCGTGACGTCATCGATGTGATGAATGGACTGAACCGGGACTAAACAAAGACTGAATCAGGACTTGAATCAGGACTTGAATCAGGACTGAATCAGGAGTAAAGTAGAACTAAACTAGGACTAGGTCAGGACTGAACCAGGACTACATCAGGACTAAATCAGGACTAAACTAGGCCTGAACCAGAACTAAATCAGGACAAAACCAGGACTACGTCTGGACTAAACCAGGACTGAACCAGGACTGAACCAGGACTAAACCAGGACTGAACCAGGACTGAACCAGGACCGAACCAGGACTGAACCAGGACCGAACCAGGACCGAACCAGGACCGAACCAGGACTAAACCAGGACTAAACCAGGACCAAACCAGGACTAAACCAGGACCAAACCAGGACTAAACCAGGACCAAACCAGGACCAAACCAGGACCAAACCAGGACCAAACCAGGACCAAACCAGGACCCAGGACCAAACCAGGACTAAACCAGGACTAAACCAGGACTAAACCAGGACTAAACCAGGACCAAACCAGGACCAAACCAGGACCAAACCAGGACTAAACCAGGACTAAACCAGGACCAAACCAGGACCAAACCAGGACCAAACCAGGACCAAACCAGGACCAAACCAGGACTAAACCAGGACTAAACCAGGACTTGAGAAACAGAGACGGGCAAATATGGGATAATATATATACAATTATTCTAACAGTGAACCCTGAGCCCATGGAGCAGGGTGTCCCCAAAGTGCAATCGGGCAACAGCTGCACCGGTCCTTTTGCCTGCAGTCACCTGACAGTCTATGTGGGCGCACCTCTAGGTCCCAACACTCACTCTTGGTTCAGTTCTGGTTTAGTCCTGGTTTAAACCTGGTTTAGTCTTGTTTTAGTCCTCCTGGTTCAGTCCTGGTTCAGTCCTGGTTCAGTCCTGGTTTAGTCCTGGTTCAGTCCTGGTATAGTCCTGGTTTAGTCCTGGTTCAGTCCTGGTTCAGTCTTGGTTTAGTCCTGGTTTCAGTCCTGGTTCAGTCCTGGTTTAGTCCTGGTTCAGTCCTGGTTCAGTCCTGGTTCAGTCCCGGTTCAGTCTTGGTTCAGTCTTGGTTTAGTCCTGGTTCAGTCCTGGTTCAGTCTTGGTTCAGTCTTGGTTCAGTCTTGGTTCAGTCCTGGTTCAGTCCTGGTTCAGTCCTGGTTCAGTTCTTGGTTCAGTCCTGGTTCAGTCTTGGTTCAGTCCTGGTTCAGTTCTGGTTTAAACCTGGTTTAGTCTTGTTTTAGTCCTCCTGGTTCAGTCCTGGTTCAGTCCTGGTTCAGTCCTGGTTCAGTCCTGGTTCAGTCCCGGTTCAGTCCCGGTTTAGTCCCGGTTTAGTCCCGGTTCAGTCCTGGTTCAGTCCTGGTTCAGTCCTGGTTCAGTCCTGGTTCAGTCCTGGTTTCAGTCCTGGTTCAGTCCTGGTTCAGTCCTGGTTCAGTCCTGGTTCAGTCCTGGTTTAGTCCTGGTTTCAGTCCTGGTTCAGTCCTGGTTCAGTCCTGGTTTAGTCCTGGTTTAGTCCTGGTTTAGTCCTGGTTTAGTCCTGGTTTAGTCCTGGTTCCTCATGTCACTCTAGGACAGTAGTGCAGATATCATGAGTCTATGCAGTTTGTTTTCACCATTGCCAGTAGCTCTGGTTTGACATTTAAGTTGTAGCTATTTCATATTTGTTATTTTTTCAGTATCTCACGTTGGGAGAAGTGGGTGGACGACGTACCCCCGCGTACCACGCCCACTACACCCCTGGCGTGTGTTAGCTGCATCTATTCAGAATTCAGTTTTCTCTTGCAACAGCATCAGTCGTAGTTGGTAGAAGTGCTTGTAGACGTGAACATCAAACCCTACATTTTTTGGATAAAGGACAAAAGTGTTCAGAGCCAAAAGTCTGCAGTGTTGTATATAAAAGACTATTTAGGATTGTTACACAAATTGGCCACAGAGTATTACTTTGGGGTTATTGTTGGCATTAAATTGTTTAGTCCAACTTTCAGGAAATAACCTCTCCGCCCCAATGCCATAGATTCACTTCGAACAATACATGGCATTTCTATTTTTATCCCACAAAAGCAGCACTGGTCTCAAACTCCACAGGTTTCCATTACTGGGGGGGTGTCCTTGAATGGGGCGTTGAATTGCCAGCGCAGTGTGGGAATCCCCTCGTGTGTTTTCCTTGTGTAATCCTGCTCTGGTCCGGGTCCGCCTTCTCTGCAGCTAAACAAACAGGGATCACTACAGTAAAGTCTGCAGGCCTGCTGCAAAGAGGCCCTGTGTGATCTGGGATTACTGTATCTGAGAAAAATCATCCAGATAATCTCAGGTTCACACACTTGTAGTATTTGTACATAGAGTCAAGTAGAATGTGCAAGGTGTGCGTATAAAAGACCCTCTCCTTGTGTTTTGATTCGTCTCTTGTGATAGTTTCATCACCTTGTATGCTCTGCACAGCTGGGATGGGAACTGCTCAAGTGTGTACATGTGTTTTTGAAGAAATTTATTATCCAAGTAGTCTGCTGTCTTTTTTTTTTTTCCCCAGATTTGCAGAGAAACAAAAAATAAATTAAATTTGTGATGATTTGCATTGATCCCACACACTCTAAGAAAGAATGTGTTATTTATTTACGCATTTAATTTGTAAAAAGACAAATAACACATGTTGTGTCAATTTCTGCAAATGTTGTGTGTTGCATGATTTAACTTCTACATGACAAAAATGTGTTGACATCTTTAGCCAATCACAAAACGACTAAGGCCAAGTTTTGTTTTTTTTTTCTATTGGCCAGGCCAAGTTGGATAATATATATTATAAATATATGTATTATATATTGTATTTTAACGAATGCCAGAAACAGGCAGCCATTTTGGTCACTGAACTATATCAAAGCACAACAGACAACCTGATCCACCGCTCACAACCTGCCCCAACAATTAACACGAGTTGTGTTGTCCCAAATAAAACTCTTTGATGTGTTGAAATTCAGCACATGTTGTGTTTTTTTTGACACATTCATGTTTAAAGTGCGTGACTATTTTTCATAAATACAGAAGAGCAGGATACAAAACAATACACTACAACTTCACAAACCTGATGTGATGTGCAGTAGTTTCATTAGCGGGATGCATGCTGTGTTGTGATGGCGCTCTGAAGGGGGAGTGAAGGGAGAGGAGACTCAGAGTATCATAAACCTAAAGTCATTAAACATTTTAATAAGTTATTTTTGGCAAATATTGCGTTTTCAAACAATAAAAGGTAACATGGTGATCTAAATATTAGGGATGAGACAAGATTTTGTGAGACAAATTGATTTTGTGTTCACATTTGGATTGGACAAAAAAGTTCAGTATTGATGAGTTACATCTTACAGTTCCAAAAAAAAATACTAGAATGGAAACAAAAATATGAAATCAAAGGAATAAAAAATTGTGAGGCCAAAATTGGAAACAGAATTGTGAAATGTATATATAAGGAATAATGTTAAAATCTCATCTTGTCTCTTTGTCATGGACTAAAACTCATGTCTCGTCTTGTTTTGTGGAAATTGTGCCTTGTCCCATCTCTACTAAATATGTTACGTGTTAACAATTAATACTCCATATGAGATGTAATGCCCTCTCTTTTAAAGATATATGTTGTTCCTCCTCTGTGTTAAATACTGCAGATAATGACATGTTTCAGATAAAAAAGATAATTAAACATCGTTTCTGTTTGCTTTGCTGCAGAGCTGGACCGTGGTCTGACAGAGCCTCAGATTAAGGTGGTGTGTCGTCAGATGCTGGAGGCTCTGCTCTACCTCCACAGTATGAAGATCATCCACAGAGACCTGAAGGCCGGGAACATCCTGTTCATGCTCGACGGAGACATCAAACTGGGTGAGGACCACACAGAGGACCTGATCTGAGCAGCAAAGAAATCTATACCCACATACTAAGTGATATTAAAATTAAAATTTGGATTAAAAAAAAAGATCATTCTTGATTTTAGAATGATATGGATCTATATTAGAACTAGTGTTACGACTGAGCTCTGTTAGGGACAGGGGGAAGTAACAAAATAACCAAGATTGTAAAATGGTAAACTAAAGTTGTGTTTTATTTAAAAGAACTGTTAAGGTGAAGCTAACAAAAGGAGGATATTTACAAAAATTAACAAAAAGAGGCTCTAAACAGAGTGGCTAAATGTATAACTAAAAGTAGGGTAACAAAAACAGAGTATATACAGTAGATGACAATAACAGAAAAACAAGTCACAAAGCCAAAAGGACTACTAGTGTCTCTAGGTTCACAAAACTAATTAGAGCGCCACAGCACAGACAAAGAGACACAGCAAAAGTGGCATGCAGTCCACAGCAGAACAGCAGCCATGAGTGGCAGGGGGCGGGTCCTTTTATAGAGCCGGAGCTCCAGGTGTAGGCCCGGGATTGGCCAGGTGTTTCGGGTTCCACCAATCAGCAGGAGGGGCTCCAGATGCCATCTTAAATTGATTCCTCCAATCACAGCATCACAGCAGGGGGTCTGTATATGGAGGCTTGCACACACACAGGGATCTAAGCAGATATGGCCAGAGGAGGATCTGGAGGCCTGTGGCCGTAACAACTAGTATAAGTCTATTGTCTACAAAACTGCTGTTTTTCTAATCAAGATATATATCAAAGTGTTGCAGAAATTGTGAAATGCAGTTAAAAATTGTATATTACACAAAACTGACTCTTGTGAGCGTTAAGCCATGCTATAATGATGTTGCCTCCTGAAAAAACATGTGGAATTTAGTTTTATTCACACATGTTTGACGCTACATTTATATGATGACGGTCTGAAGATAAGTGCATATGTATCGTTGCGTCTTCACTTTTTATTCCGCGTTTAGACGAGCGTTTTCGGGAGGAAATCTGCGCGCATACGGTGACGCAAAAGTGTGTGGAATTGAATTGGGTTTGCATGCCAGGCAGCGAGGTAGTGACACTGTGGTTAGATCTACTCACGTCGCGTTTACATCAGAGTTTTGCGTCTTGGACAGTGTAGACGGAAACTCTACGGTGGAGCTTATTCAACTTTTCCGCTCTGGAAGGTGGTTTCAGATTTTTGCATTTTTAACTCCCGTAAACGCCGTCACTGTCTAAAAGAAACACTTCAATAAAGTGTTTTGTCGTTTTTACCCGCAAGCGTTCTTGTGTAAACATGCCCTCAGACAACATTTTATTGTCTGTCTACATCAGATCTCCAAAGTCTGTTCCACCTTGTGATGTCATGAAGCGATAGTTTTCAAGTTAACAGCTACCTTTTATTTTTTCGTTTAGTAGAGATTTGCAGTTCCTGGTCTGAAATTATACAAATGATTCTAGTGAAGATGTATGGAGTTTAAAAACACAGTTGAGCACTTCCTGTATTACCACATGACATCACAAGGTGGAAGAGAGAGTTTCGTTTGAGAGAAGAACTCGGCCTAAATCTGCAGGGTTTGTGTGTTAAACGTGTGAATGAACCAAAACACAACTCCAGGTTTGTTTGTGATGATGAAACAACATTATAACAGAGATCAGAAAATAGTGTAATATGGGCCCTTTAACCAAAATCTTGTATATTTGTGTTGAAATTATCCAGATTCCTCAAGGCTGTGTTTGCTCCCAGCTTGTTTCACTCTTCATGATCCCCTCTGATCCCCACACAAACCCTGGTCTGAGCACATTCCAGGTTTTTCCTCCGGAGTCCACTGTCTCTCACACGCGGTCACACCCTCCTGCCCCGCTGAGAGGACGGCCATAACTCAGCCTTATGTGGGAAAAGCATTCTGGGAAATTCAACATATTTCAGTGTAGCAAGACACTTTAGATTAGAGTCTCATGCAAAAGATAATCAGCAGTGGTGCAAGTGTTTATAAAAATGGTCTGGGAATTTATTTAAAAAAAAGAAAAAGAAAAAATTTGAGGGGAAAAAAAAATAAAAAATCTGCCATCAATATATTTAAGATGTTAAGATTAAAGGTGCTGTTCATGATTTTTATTATTAAAAATGTGAAAAACAGCTGGTTCATTTTAAAGTTTGCAATGATCCAAAGTTATTCCTCAGTTACCTTATGCATTTGATGAGTTTATAAGCACTTTTCACGATTTCCAGAGTCCAAAGTGGCATTTTGCTGTCACTTTTGTTGCAACATCTAGCAAGCAAACTGCCCACTTCCTGATTTTCGAACAACGTTTTAGAAAAAATGGCTGTACTTTGGCAGACGATATAAATTTTGCTCAAGTATGTGTGGGGAAAAAATTGGTACAGGTCATTTTTAATACATTTATCTGTGTTGGTAGACTTTTTTTTTTTTTTTTTTTAAGACTTTAGACTTTTTCATTTAATTTCCACGCACACAGAGCTTGTTTGGCTCGTACAGCAAAGACACAGAACAACACAACACACATGGACACATTACAGTGCACTCAGCGGGCCTATTGTTCAAAAATGTAAAGGCCGAGGGCATCAGGCTTTTTGCCAAAGCTGGACCCTCCTGCACCTGAACGCCCTGGGGTACCTCGGGTGGTCGGGTGGGGTGAGGGCAGAGGGGTGAGGTCAGAGGGGTGAGGGCAGAGGGGTGAGGTCAGAGGGGTGAGGGCAGAGGGGTGAGGTCAGAGGGGTGAGGTCAGAGGGGTCAGAGGGGTGGGTCAGAGGGGCAGAGGTCAGAGGGGTGGTGAGGGCAGAGGGGTCAGAGGGGTGAGAGGGTCAGAGGGGTGGTGAGAGGTCAGAGGGGTGAGGTCAGAGGGTGAGGTCAGAGGGGTGGGTGAGGGCAGAGGGGTCAGAGGGGTGAGGTCAGAGGGGTGAGGTCAGAGGGGTGAGGTCAGAGGGGTGAGGTCAGAGGGGTGAGGGCAGAGGGGTGAGGGCAGAGGGGTGAGGGCAGAGATGGGTGAGGGCAGAGGGGTGAGGGCAGACGGGTGAGGGCAGAGGGGTGAGGGCAGAGGGGTGAGGGCAGACGGGTGAGGGTGAGGGCAGACGGGTGAGGGCAGAGGGGTGAGGTGTAGTGAGTGAGTGAGTGGAGTCCTGTTCTATGGAGAGTCCAATGGGGACTCCAAGGTTCGACTGCAAGTTGTAAACAGAAAGACAATTTTGACATTAGGATATTTCAGAGACAAAATGCCTTAAAATTTGTGACATAAATGACAGAGCTGGGAATCACAGGGTCCCTCATGATTCGATACGATCCTCAATACATGGCTCACGATACGGCGATAAACGCGATGCTCGATATATTACACATGATAGTCTGTGAAATATTGCTGTTTTTAAGAACCAAATACATTTTGGCAACAAGATTTCTTTGTTAAACCACTGTAATGCATCTATTTTAATCATGAAAGCAGTAAATATGCCAAGTGTATCGTTTAATCAAGTTACCTTCCACTAAATAAACAAAAACTGTTGTGCGGTTACAAAAGAAAATTGTTAAAAGATACCAAAAAATATTCTTGCCGATATATCGATACAGCAACACACAATATTGATACTATATCACCAAATTTAGTATCAAGATATATCCAGGGTCTTTTTCACTGACATAATTTCAGAACTTTTCCATGACTTTTTCATGACCTAAAGTGAATTTTCCATGACTTTACGGCACCTACATGTGTAATGATCAGACTTTTAGTGTTAAATATGAAATGTTAACTCTTTTCACTCACCTTATGGTTTGGGATTATAGTTTTTGAACATTCAAAATCCTGTCAGTGCATTTACTGTCGTCTCTTTTAAATAAAAGGCGCAGATGTTTAGAACTAATCAGAACAGCCCAATGAGAACTTCACTGAACGCTGGAGTTGCGTGAAAGAGATACTAAAATTCCATGACTTTTCCAGGATTTCCATGGCTGTGGTAACCCTGCAGATACGTTTTAGCAACAATATTTCTTTGTTAAACCACTGGAATACATCTATTTTAATCATCAAAACTGTGAACGTGCCAAGTGCGTCGCTTAAACAAGTTTTCTTCCAATAAATAAACTAAAACTTTTGTTAAGATTGTTAATTGTTAAGATACCAAAATATATTCTTGCTGATATATCGATACAGCAAGACATGATATCACTGTATCACCAATGTACTGTTTCAGTACATTTAGTATCAAGATATATTGATATTTTGGCTCACTCCTAATGGATATGCCCAATCAGTTTCATTATTTTATTTAGGTTTAGGAAAGCAAAAAGAATTCTGTGGCTTGTAACTTGGAATCTAAATCTAAATGAACAATGCTCCTTTATCCAGACTCATTTGTATAAACCTCTGTACTCTTTGATAAATCAAGTCATTTGCGTGTCTCTTATGGCTCTGTGATAGCTCTAATCACTGGGAGTTGTCTCTAAGCACGTACAGTATTTATTCAAACAATGCTGCAATTAAACATGGGGTCAAATTAGTACAGTGATGTCAGAGCACTAATTTACTCCATCCTCCTGTAATTTGTTCAGCTAATTCATTTCATTCATATATTTGAGCAAAACAGAGTATGTCTGCCCGTTTACAGATGTATTGTAAAAGGAACTCTTGAGGTCAAAATAAGCAGGGATGTAAAAATAACCGAATATCGTGATGTTGTGACGTCAAAAGTCTCATAATAATATTGTGGGTCATCACAGTATATCAAATCACAAGTGTCTTTGCTTAAATTCATTGTTGTGGTGCAGTAATAGCTACAAAAAAACAAATAGACTAGACATGTCAAACTGAGACCTGGGGGCCAAATTTAGCCCGTGATACAATTATATTTGGCCCGTCATATTAGATACTGCCCACCGGCTACAGATAAACTATAGACACATTATTTATTTAAAATGTTGTTATTGTTTTATATTCTGCTTGTTCTGGATTCAGTGTTTAAGCAAAACTATTATTAAACATTTATTTTAAAAAGAAAAGGTTTAACATTACATATCTCGAAAGAAGAGAAAACCTGCAGATGAATTTGAGTTTGACACCCCTGATATAGACCATGATCCTTTGCTATTTCAGTGCAGACTACATGAAGAAATAACTTAATTCTTTGTATTATAACTGGACCAAAGGCTTATCATGGCATCTTAAAAGGAAAAAGTTACATGCTCACAATTTTGTTAGGCTCTACAAAATATCGGAATAAATATCCTATTGTGAGATGCATATGGTTACAACAAATCTGCTGTGTACTGTCTGCATCTAACTACAGTATTACGTTCTGTGTTGGCAATGATTCCTGAGATCGAGGATTTAAAGCCAGAACAAAGAGAATAATGTTTGGTGAATTTCATCAAGGGGAAAGATGTTATTGTCCTTCTTCCTTCGGGATTTGAGAAAAGCTTAATATACCAATTAGCCCCGTTAGTGGTGCATTACATATGTCATGACCAAATAGCAGCGATTGGTTAAATAAACCCGCCTACTGTCAAGCGAACGAATTCTAATGTTGCGAAGTCAGACGGTTTCCACAAAGTGAAACCAGCTGATGAATTAGACTAATTCAGGATGGGACGAGACATAATTTCTACTAGACGAGACATGACACGAGATTCAACTCACGAGAATGAGACAAGACAAGATTTTGATATAATTTTTAATAAATGAATTTTGGTTGGTTTATTTCATTTTATAGTTTTGCTGTTATTGTAGCACTGATTTTTAGAATGACAGCTTCTCTGTATCCAAGGCAAATGTGAAAATATTTGTAAAAAAAAATCTCACAAGATAATTTTTTTGTGGCATTTTTGTCTCTTTTTGGCACGAGATCTTGTCCCATCCCTGATGAATATTGTGCTTACAAATGTCCAAAACATAACACAATGATCCACTGGTGTCATACTTTATAGCTGCATATCAGACACAAACACAGTAGGTCTGCTTTAAAACATACAATATACAAATAATGCCAATCTGTGCAAAAGCAAAGCAATAAAATGTCAAAAGAGACATTTTGCAATATTCTCCATGACGTTACATAATGCAATTTTAAGTTTTAATTATAAGGTTTTTAAAGGTTGAGGATCTCGTATTTGATCAGCTGATTGAAAAGATCCAAATTTAGATTAATTTCGCTCAAATACACGAACAAAGAAAATAGGTACAGGCCCTTCACACTTTTCTCTTGCTTCATCTGTCGCCTTCACTTCTTGTATTTTAACCTTCACTAATCAAGTCATAATTGTCTTCTATGTAAACACGCCCATGCACTTTGATGCCAATTAAATAAACAAACTGTCCACTTTGTATCCAGCGCTGTCTTTCCGTCACTCCCTTAATGATACCTGCACCGCTGTGTGTCGGCTCACGGCCAAGGAAGACTTTTCATTCTTTCTTTCTTTCTTTCTACGAAATGAATTTCCGTCTGTATTCACAAAATCACATGTTTGGCATATTTACAAAGCAGGATACTCGCTCGGTTTCCTGTTTTAGAACGAGTTGGGCTGTAATTGAAGTAGTTACAGGCAGCTGCAGTGGACTCCAAACCCGGGTCCGTTGCCAAAGCCTGAGGGAACGCCACTCACTGCAACACAATCTGACTTTTCTGGAACTGAAATGAAATGTGAAAATGATGCTGTGATTGTCAACTGGTGAGAGTGGACCAAAAAGCATAAACCAGATATAAAGCTTAGTATTTGATTTAGTTTTAAAAGCACAAAGTAAAGAATGGGAAATTAGTAGATTGACATGGATGCTTTCTCCATGTATGTGTGCAGAATTTGTCTTTTGTATAAGCAGCTTGAGGTCAATAGATGTCCATTGGGGACTGTCTCATCTAATTATAATACAGTTTACTGTCAGAGAATCAGAAACTGAGCGGTTAGAATGCTGTTTGTTGTTAGTATTACCGTGAAGTAAGCTCTGACCTTTGAAAGTTGTGAAAAGCACACAGTAGTGAATCAGGATGCTCAGAATGCAAGTGAGGAACACTGTTGGGCAAGTTACTTTAAAACTGTAATGCGTTATTGCAGTACTTTTAAGTCACTCTCGCCAAAATAACTGTGAAGATGCTGAACTTTTGCACCTTATATGGACTAAACCAGGACTACACCAGGACTAAACCAGAGCTGAACACGGACTGGACCAGAGCTGAACACGGACTGATCAGGACTGGATCAGGACTGAATCAGGACTGAACCAGGGCTGAACCAGGGCTGAACCAGGGCTGAACCAGGACTAAACCAGGACTAAACCAGGACTAAACCAGGACTAAACCAGGACTAAACCAGGACTAAACCAGAGCTGAACACGGACTGAACCAGAGCTGAACACGGACTGAACACGGACTGAACACGGACTGAACACGGACTGAACACGGACTGACACAGGACTGAACACGGACTGAACACGGACTGAACATCGGACTGAACACGGACTGAACCAGGACTGAACCAGGACTGAACCAGGACTGAACCAGGACTGAACCAGGACTGAACCAGGACTAAACCAGAGCTGAACCAGGAGTAAACAAGGTCTAAACCAGAACTGACCCAGGTCTAATCCAGGTCTAAACCAGGTCTAAACCAGAACTGACCCAGGACTAAACCAGGTCTAAACAAGGACCAAACCAAGACTAAACCAAGTCTTTGCTTGCGTTACCTGACGGTCTACGTGGGCGCGTCTCCGATGTTTCACCGCTGCTGATATTGTGGTAATTTTAGCAAATTTGTATGAATTAAAACCCACCACTTCAATCCAGGTTAAAAAAGCATAACACGCATTACTGACATTTGCACCGAGTAAAATATTACTATTTTTTTCCCCTTTAACGCCACATTACTGCGTTACAGCAAAAAGCAGTGCATTACTGTAATTTGTTACTTTTATAATGCGTTACTCCAAACACTGGTGAGGAATAACTCTGGACGACTACAAACTGATTAAAACAGACCTGGATATTAAACAGCTCCTGGGCCACATACAGCACTTTCGTTCACATTGTTTGTAAGGCTGCCTCACTTTTTCATTGCTTAATCATAACATAAACTCTTACCAGTGAGCAGCTCGTCAAAACAATCATACTTACTGCTTTTTTTTTAAAAAATAAAGAAATAGAAATAATATTATGCAGAATTGAGTTAAGCGTTTTGGACCGGCCCTTCACAATATTTTTCTTTTCTCATGTATAATTACCCTAACCAGGCTGGCACCACCTAGTGTCTCCACTCAATTTCATTTCTCTCCAGCAACTAGGTCAGAAATCAAAATACACTAGATGGTTCGCAAAAACCCCGGAAGTTTGAGTTTGGGCACCAGCCAATCAGCAAAGGGCCATATATTCTGTGTTGTCAACGATTCCAAAGATCGAGGATTTAAAGCTGGAATAAAGAGAATGTTTGGTGAATTTCATCAAGGGGAAAGACGTTATTGTCCTTATATATATATATACCAGTTAGCCCCGTTAGTGGTGCATTACATACGTCATGATCAAATAGCAGCACTTGGTTAAATTAAAAAAAGTGCCTACTGTCAAGTGAACGAATTCTAACGCTGTGAGGACGGTTTCTATGAAGTAAAACCGGCTGATGAATCAAGCTATAATTACCCTCCCCTGGTTTAAAATAAACTAGTTCTGTTTTTCACGATTTTAACACAGTAAAAATCAGGTACAGAGACTAAGTAAAGTAAGTGATGTGTTTCTAATGTATTTCTATTTTCTTTTCACAGCTGACTTTGGAGTTTCTGCAAAAAACAACAAAACTTTGCAAAGAAGAGATTCTTTCATTGGAACGCCGTATTGGTAAGACACACATTGCTTTTAAAGTCCTGTATTACATAAAACTGACTCATGTGAGCGTTTAAGTCATGTTTATAACGCTGTGTTACCTCATCTGTTTACATCATACATTAGTACTGCATTGATTGATTTAGATACTTCATTGCACAATTCTCAGATCGATTCAAAATGGATCCGAATCGATTTTTTAAACAGTATTTTATGATCACACTCAAGGCAATGCACACCCCGAGTAGAGATTGTCAATTCCAGATCTGAAATTACCCAATCATCAGGTATGTGATGTGACGAAGAAACAACATAACATAGATCAGAAAATGGAATTATTTTCAATCTACATGAGCATACTTGTGTGTAGACTGTAGACTGCACTGGATATGATCATTATTATAGTTGAGTTAACCATTGCCAGAACATGCTATTACTACCCTCCCTTCTCCAAAGAAACATGGTGGCCCCATTGCACAATAATAATAATAAAACAAAGTCCAGCTGAGTATAATATAAATACTTTTAGGGGTTTGAGGATTGCCTTGATTGGAAAACTGGCTCCGGACCAGGACTTGTGCAAACAGAACTCGAGCACATCCTGTTGACGCGTGCTGATTGACATGAGCTGGTGACAGATGTAAAACGATAGTGAAGGGTGTTGTGATTAATAATCGTGTTGCTTTCAAATTGCTGGTTACAAAAAGGTCACAACAGAACACATATGCCAAAATATCCATCAAGATAAATGCATTGGATTGTGCACTGTTTTTTTTTTTTTTTTTTTGTAAGATATAGTACTCAATTTTTTTAATTTTTTAAACATTTTTTCACTTTTAATACGTGAAAATCAGAAGTTGTCCATTGTAAAACCGTTTGCAGTAGTCCAGAGTTTCACCATTTTCGAAGACCAGAGCAGAACTAGTATGCTAACCGGACACTTCCTGATTCTCATATAACTTTTTATTAGATGGAGACACTATTATTTATTACACAGTTATGAGTAGAGCCCGACCGATATGGATTTTGCTGTGGCCGATATGAAACCGATATAATGGGGTTGGAGCTGCCGATATAATCGCCGATATATTTAGTGATGTAAAAATTAACTGTAAATGTTGAATTGTTTAAAAAACTTAGGTTTGGCTCTGGTGGATTTTAAATTGGGTTTATTTAGGCAACATTTATTGTTATTCTGCCTCTTTACATCATATTTACAGACAGTAGGTTGGCTTAATGGCATTTTTGCATCACATTCTAGACACTAGTGACGGGTATTCCAGTTCTTTTTAGAGAACCGGCTCTTTTTTTTTTCACTAAAAGCTGCTGATTCTTTTGGCTCCCAAGCGGCTCTTCAGATTGTCTTTGTCAGCGTCTTTTCTGTTTTGAGATGAATGTGTTTGCAGATGTTTTTTGGAGATGATAATTATTAAAAACATGCACAATTAGCAAAATCTTCCAGCAAAGGCAGTCCTGACCAAATTTTTGAGATGAGTCCTCAGGCACTCCGCCTCCTGCTGGGTTCCTCCATACCACTGAAGCATGGGTCAAATGCAAAGCGCCACGATAACGTAAAATAGTAAAACATACATTTAAAGGTCCCATATTACACAATTTTCTTTTCTGTTTTATAATGTTGTTTCCTCATATAAACATATAAACATACCCGAGGTTGTGTTTTCATTTAATTCACACATTTTTAACACACAAATCCTGCATATGTTGGCTGAGTTCTTCTCTCTCTTCTCTTTTGTGATGTCATGCGGTAATACAGAAAGTGCTCCACTGCGTTTTTAAACTTCATACCTTCACTAGAATCATTTGGGTCATTTCAGCTCTGGAAATCCCAATTTCTGAAAATAGAGAAAAGTCCTGCACACCGTCTTTCTTGCAAAATGTGAGATTTATTAGGACATATTAGGATATGTCCTAATTTTATTTTTTTTTAAGACAAGAATTACTATTGTGATTAGATCTGGGATTTATGTTTTAATACTGGGATTCTTTTTAAATTTCACATTTTAAACACTTTCAGAAAGATTGAAAAAAAAAAAAAAACTGAAACATGAACTGACAAACTGCATTTCAAAACTTGTTTGTACAGATCTACAAAAAAAACTACAAGGTTAGCAGTTTGTATGTAGTATAATACAGGATATTTTGTTTGTGGAAGAAATAATGGTACTTCAAAAATTAAATTACCACTTTTGCGATGTGTTAATTGCATCTATTCAAATTGTAATTCCAGTTCTATTATGATAAATCTCACAGGCCTGTAACCTTGCACCCTCTCCTCCTCACCATTTGTGTGGCCGTCTTTATTAGGACATATTAGGATACGTCCTAACAAATCTCACATTTTGCAAATAAGGCGATGTGCAGGATTTTTCTGTGTTCTTGGGTTGCGCTCTTTCCTCCAACACACCCGTCTCAAGTGACTGATGTGCAACGTTCTCATTCTTTTACAATCTTTAAAAGGGAGCTGCTAACTTTAAACTACCACTTCATGACATCACAAGGTGGAGCAGAGCATTTGGAGCTTTGGAGATGTAGACAGATTAATAATTCAGGATTACTCAAACATGTGTGAATGTAACAAAGCACAACTCCAGGTCTGTTTTTGATGAGGTAACATGACTTAAAAGCTCACATTTCGCGTAACATAAGACCTTTATAAGATTATTGTGTGATTAGTTAATCTTTAATTAAAACGTCTGTCTTATTGCTCTTGATAACTAAACACCACAAATCTTTTCTTCAGTAGCCTGTTATTATGACTGCTAACACTGCCTTATTTGTACTGTACTCTTGTTGTTATAAATGATAGACAAACTGAAGCACTTGGATGGACGCAGAACTTTCCACTGAGCGTTACGTAACGGTTGTTTTGGGATCTGGCCCGTGTCTTGTGTTCCAGGATGGCTCCGGAGGTGGTCATGTGCGAGACGATGAAGGATGCCCCGTACGACTATAAGGCTGATATCTGGTCCCTGGGCATCACTCTGATAGAACTCGCCCAGATTGAACCTCCGCACCACGAGCTCAACCCGATGAGAGTCCTGCTCAAGATCGCCAAGTCCGAGCCGCCGACGCTGGACTACCCGCACAAATGGTGAGGAGGAGAGGGCGCAAGGTTACAGGCCTGCAAGATTTATCCTAACTGAACTGATATTACAATCTGAGAAATCGCAAAAGTGGTAATTTAAAGTACAATTATTTCATCTAAAAATATATATCTTGGCTTACACTTCATTAAAACTGCTAACCCTGTAGTTTACTCGTAGATTTGTGCAAACATGTTCTGAAATGTGATTCTTGTTTTAGTTTGTCATTTCAGGTTTCAGTTTTTTCTTCATCAATCTTTCTGGAAGTGCTTAAAATGTAAAATTTTAACAGAATCCTAGTATTAAAACATAATTGGAAATCTAATCACTATCGTAACAAAAAAAAAAAAAAAAAAAAGTAATTAGGGATTATTATATTATTATTACCTTTACGATTATCAAATCATAAAAGTGGTAATTAAATTTAAAACTGCTGACCATGTTGTTTACTTGTAGATCTGTACAAACATGTTCTGAAATGTGATTTTTGTAATAGTTCAAATGTCAGTTCAAATTTGACATTGATTTTTGAACACTTCCAGAAAGACTGAAATCTGAACAGAATCCTAGTGTTAAAACATAAATCAAAGATCTAATCACAGTTGTAAAAACAAAAAACCCCAAAATGTAATTAGATGTAGGGATGTAACGATATCCAACTCTCTCGGTACGATATTATCACGATATGCATCTCACGGTACGATATTTATTGTGATATTTTGGAGAGGCTGATATTATTGTAGATAGGATACTTTTTTTTGCTTTTAAAATACCTTGACAAGATTTTGGTGTGAATTATTTCCGTCATAATCCCAAGAACTCAAGTAAAAACATATTTGTTCATTTTGTCTGCACTGAAATGAATCATGGGAAATGTAGTTCCTGATGTTTACCGGCTGTTGCTGCTATAAAACAATGCATTTAAGCAAAGGAACTTGTAATAATTCGATATATTTTGACAGCTCTCGATATTATTGTGAGTCTTTTGACAATACGATATCATGATATTTTGGTTATTGTTACATCCCTACTACCATGTTATAAGTGATAAAATGATTTCAAAATGCCAAATATATGGAAATAAAGTTATTGATTAACATCTCTTTTAATAATGTGGACAAGCTAATAAATGTTTGTAAAAGTATTATTGATCATTGTATAGCAAATTTTCTACAGTATTTGGAAGGGCACCTGATTTAAATATTGAAATCTCATTTGATGCACTATGTAACTTTTCGGTTGGAGGTTCGTCACCTGCTCGTTTCTATAGATACGTCATTTCTCTGCCTGGAATGTTCCACAGTATGACATTAAACAGCTCTACCTTACATTTATGCAATTACAGGTTGTTTTACTGCTCAAAAATATCTAGAAAACAGACATTCTGACTGTGAGCGGGGTCACCTCTCCACAGATCTGACTTGTAACTTGGTCTGGTTTGGTCTCCATGAAGATTTAATAGTGAAACGTTCCAGACTAAGCAGTAACATCTGACGGACCCTCCACCAGAAAAGTTACACAATGCTCCCTCCTTTCATTTTCACTCTGAATCCTAATATATTTCATTTATTCATCCCAGGTCATCAGAGTTCAACGATTTCTTGAGAAGATGTTTGGACAAAAACCCAGAGACCCGTCCCACCGCGGCCCAACTTCTGGAGGTATTTTATATGACTAATATGTTCTATCACACTTTGAATTGTATAATCTCTTCATGTTTCTTATCATGCGCTGATCCTTTTATGGTTCTATTTTGAGACTGGAGTATTGTGATGTGTGCCAGGGATGGGAGTGGTAACCTGGCAGTGGCTAAACACAAACAAGTCCATTAGTTCCAGCTGGCTGCTCCTAATAACTCGAAAATGAGCTACAAGTTTATATAATATCTGAAAATGTTAATGATTCATGAAGACGCTGCACCTGAGTTTTACTGTTTTACAAATGTGAAAAACAGAATGAGTTCATTTAAACACACTGCAGTGGTCCAAAGTTATGAAATCTGAGCTGCTTAATTATTCACTGTGACGAGTTTATAAGCACTTTTCACAACTTTGAGAGACGAGTTGCAGTAATAAGGTATTTAAAGTGATCAGATATGTTTGTAGCAAAGGGGAAATCCAATTCCGCCAACTGGGCAAAAAGTTTTTTATGGAATACGTTTTGCACCTCATCCAAGCTGCTTCTTCACTTCTGGCCAGATTGCTGCTGGACTCTGCCAGAACTGAAGAAGCGACTTGGATGAAATGCAAAACGCATTTGATCAAAAAATGTTTTGTCCAGTTGACAGAATTTAATTTCTTCTTTGCCATGGATCCTACCTGGACGACTGAGGGATTTCACAAACATCAGATACATTTATAGATAAGCTTTTTTCATCAAGACAAATACTGTTATGCATGAGGGAGAATGTTTAGTGATTTAATCTGACATTAAACGGTGTTTGACCAGAGCCGAGGTGAGGCTGGCTCTCACGCTCTGTCTCTGTCTGTGTGCGGGGGTGTGTCTCCATGAGTTAGCACATCTGTGGCCGCACATTTACTACAGAAATATGGACATAAGATTACATCAGATGGTGAAATCTCATTTAAAGAATCAGTAAAAAATGTGTTTCTTACATTAAAAAATTCTGTTGGATAGAATTTTCAACACATTTTTCAACTTTTCTTCACAAATTGCTTCTTGATTGGTGTAAAACTATCAGTTATAATCTCACTGAATTCAAGTCAAAACTAGAAAATCATAAAAATCGCTCATCCTCTGTGCGGAGGATCTGGGTTCAAGACCTCGATCCGTAATTTAAGATGCACTTAAAATCCTTTAATTTTCTCAAAAATCGACAGTGCGCCTTATAATCCCATGTGCCTTATATATTAATTCTAGTTGTGCTTACTGACCTTGAACTCATTTTCTGTTTTACACGGCGCTCAAAAATCTGTCAAAATGTTTTAATACGACTTTGGAAAGCTATGAAGCCGCACCGCTTGATGGATTGTTGGAGCATTACGGCTGCCGTAGTCAGGAGTCTTTTAGTTCGACAGAAGCTGAACCGCACCAGTGCACAAGGAGCGAGCTGTTTTTTCAGCGCTTATAGTTTATGCAAATTATCCATGTGGTTTAAGTTTTGTTTCTGTAAAATGTAAACAAATGTGCACAAAGCTGCGTTAAACACACTATTGCGCAATGTATATTTGAGTCGTCCTCATGGGAACAAAAAAAGCTAATTTAAATGATCCACCCACATTCACATTCATAATCCACGTTCACCAAGACAGGGAGGCAACGCCGGACGAATTACACCACGATCCATTTGATTCGCTTAATACGTGTTATAATCCAGTGCACCTTATGTATGAAAATAGACGAGAGAATTCAACATTATTGATATTGCACCTTTATAATCAAGTGCGCCTTATAGTCTGAAAAATACGGTATATGTTTGTAAAGAAAATAGAAGCAGCTTAGTGCCAAACAACATTTCTGAGCCAACTGCACTTTGCCTCACCAGCTGTAAACCTCACCGCACATCACTGAACTCCAGGTATGTTTTTGATGAGGAAACAACATTATCACATGACTCAAAGCTCACAAGACTCAATTTTGAGTAATATAGGACCTTTAAGTGAAAGACAGAGTTAATTTGAGACTTTTTTTTTCTTTTTTTCAGAATAAATTAATAAACAAATTGATATAAAACTGCGCTCTATCTCTCACATTGTATTATATCTAATCCTTTTCACATCACTCCATTGGATAAACTGAATGAACTTGGGTGTGGATCCAAATTTCTCTCTCGCATCTATTAAAATCCAGAGTTTCCTGTCTGTATCCCACAGCTGCGGCATGCCAACTATTTACATCCCCACCCATCGGCCAATCACGCGCCACGATCACAGAGGTCCCGGCGCCTCCGTCCAATTAGAACCCGAGGAGAGGAGATGAAAATCCTGCCGAGAATTCCGCATGTGTTGTCAGATGGAGTGTTAGAATTGGGTGCGGTTGTGATCGGGCACTATGGTTTTCAGAAGTGCTCGATACTGGGATGTTTTAGGAATGAGGAAATGTGAATTTATGTGGAATATTTCGCAAGATTTCTGTTTAAAGAAGGAAGGAAGTAGCATAGTTTAGGGATGAGTAGAAAGGACAGTGAATCACAGATGAGGGGAGTTTGTGTTTTGGGTGTTGTCGCATTAAAGGCTTAAGGGACTGAAACTGCGGCGATGAGTGTTGCAGTGGCTCGAGTGACACCGGGTTTAGTCCTGTCTGACACGGATGAATGCTGTTGTTGTGTCCTTGGGCAAGACATGTAACAGGCCTTGCCCCCAGTGTGTGTACATGGTGTGTGAACGCGCCTTGAATGTCATGAACGTGGAACCGGCACAATTCAAACGTGACAATTGTGTTTCAGATTCTAGTAATTGTAGTAATAGTAGCAGAAATGGTGTCTTGCCCAAGGACGCAACAGCATTCAGCGTTCATCTGTGGAGCCTGGAATCTCACCGCCGACCTGTGGGTCAGTGGATCTGATCGCGCAACCAATAACGTTTTACAGGATAAATGAGAGTGGGATTCGAACCAACCTTTGTATCAGTGGACAGACCAACTAAAAACTGATCTTCAAGCCCCATCAGCATCAGTAGTAGTCGCAGTACTGTAGTAGTCGCAGTACCGTAGTAGTCGCAGTACCGTAGTAGTCGCAGTACCGTAGTAGTCGCAGTATTATAATAGCAGTACTGTAGTAGCAGTACCATAGTAGTCACAGTACTGTAGTAGCAGAATTGTAGTAGCAGTACCATAGTGGTTGCAGTACTGTTGTAGCAGTACCGTAGTAGTCGTAGTACTGCTGTAGCAGTACCGTAGTAGTTGCAGTACTGTTGTAGCAGTACAGTAGTAGTCGCAGTACTAGTAGTCGCAGTACCCTAGTAGTCGCAGTACCCTAGTAGTCGCAGTACCGTAGTAGTCGCAGTACCGTAGTAGTCGCAGTACCGTAGTAGTCGCAGTACCGTAGTAGTCGCAGTACCCTAGTAGTCGCAGTACCCTAGTAGTCGCAGTACCCTAGTAGTCGCAGTACCCTAGTAGTCGCAGTACCCTAGTAGTCGCAGTACCGTAGTAGTCGCAGTACCGTAGTAGTCGCAGTACCCAAGTAGTCGCAGTACCCAAGTAGTCGCAGTACCCTAGTAGTCGCAGTACCCTAGTAGTCGCAGTACCCTAGTAGTCGCAGTACCGTAGTAGTCGCAGTACCGTAGTAGTCGCAGTACCCAAGTAGTCGCAGTACCCAGTAGTAGTCGCAGTACCGTAGTAGTCGCAGTACCTAGTAGCAGTACCTAGTAGTCGCAGTACCGTAGTAGTCGCAGTACCGTATTAGTCGCAGTACTGTAGTAGTCGCAGTATTATAATAGCAGTACTGTAGTAGCAGTACCGTAGTAGTCGCAGTACTGTTGTAGCAGTACCGTAGTAGTTGCAGTACTGTTGTAGCAGTACCGTAGTAGTTGCAGTACTGTTGTAGCAGTACAGTAGTAGTTGCAGTACCATAGTAGTCGCAGTACAGTAGTAGTGATTTGTACAGTAGTCGCAGTACAGGCATAATGGCAGAACAGTAGTAGTTGCAGTACTGCAGTAATCTTTGTACAGTAGTCGCAGTACAGTAGTACTCGCAGGACTAGTCACAGTAGTAGTCGCAGGACTAGTCACAGTACAGTAGTAGTTGCAGTACAATAGTCACAGTAGAGTGGTCACAGTAGTAGTAGCAGTACAGTAGTAGTAGCAGTACAGTAGTAGTTGCAGTACATTAGTAGTCACTAGAGGTGGGAGGAGACACCCACAAGGTGAAACATGGGATCAAGAGAATGAAATAAGACGAGAGATACTTGCGGCCTCATTTTTTTATTCCATATTTTTTTCTGTCTTTGTAACACTTAAAGCAGCAGTTGTAGTAACAGTAGTAGTAGTAGTAGTAGTAGTAGTAGTAGTAGTAGTAGCACTTGTAGTAACAGTAGCAGTAGTAGTAGTTGCATTAGTGAGTATTTGCGTCCCTTCCCATCTGTCCCACATGTGTGCTTTGTGGAATGCCTGCACAGATGACACAGGCTCTGGCTCAGTCCTGGGACCATGTGTACGACTGCTGAGGCCCCGCCCACTCAGTACTTTCTCAGGGTCTAGACTCGTACTGTTTATGAGGTTCAGTCTGGTCCATGTGCACGCTGGATGTTTTTCTATACGTCTGCTTTAGTGGAAATACTGAAAGGTCACATTACAGTAAGAAGCCACTGAAATAAACGCTTCCAGTTTGTTTGTTGATTTTTTTACTTAATTTATATTTAATTTATATTTAAAGGTCCTATATTACACATAAATTGAGTCTTGTGAGCCTGTTATCAGTTAAGTCCTGTTATAATGTTGTTATCTCATCAAAAAGATATAAAAAACATAGTTGTGTTTTGTTTCCTTCACTCACACATTTGAGTAACCCTGTGTTATTGGTCTGGCTACATCTCCAAAGTTCAAAATTCTCAGTTCCACTTTGTGATGTCATGAAGCTGTAGTTTTGAGATGCTACAGATTTTTTTTACACCACTTATGGCAACAAATGTGGCAAAAAGGCCCTCCAGAGGAAATACTTGGGGAAGAACCATCTCATCACCAACTGGAACAACAGAGTGAAGTA